TCTCTAAATTAGGATCCCTTTTTTAGGTCCCCAATAAAAGTACGGCACTCTTCTAAAAAGGATCCCAAAAGGGACCCTAATTCAGAGAACTACCCCCGAAACCCTAAACCCTAAACCCTAAACCGCATTTGCATCCAGGTACTAAGGTGCTTCCTGCAATGGGCCGGCTCCATTCCGACGTCGACTCCTCGTTCCAACAGAGCTGGCGGACCTCACGGTTTAGGGTTTAGGGTTTAGGGGTCTAGGGTTTAGGGTTTAGGGTTTAGGGGCTTAGGGTTTAGAGTTTAGGGTTTAGGGTTTAATAATGCTGATGGGAAGTTTTCTAAATTAGGGTCCCTTTTAGGGTCCTTTTTATAAGGGTGCCGTACGATTTTGGGGGATCCAAAAAGGAACCCTAATTTAGAGAACTACCCTCAGAACTCTCAGGCTTGCAAACCCTCCTGGGACCGGAAGAGCTGACAAAGAGACTCCAATGTTCCTTAATTAAGGAATATTCCTTAAATTATAGTAGGGTCCTTAAAATGATTTAAGGTATATTCTGAAATTGAGGAACATTGGAGTCTCTGAGGACAAAGCAGGCACAGGGCAAAGTTCAGCCAGCCTGGATGATGTGAGCCGTTTGGCAGGGCAAGTTGATGATGGTACCTTGCTGGATGCAACCCTAAACCCTAAACCCTAAACCCTTAATATCGAGCGTGGCCCCAGATTTCCGGCCGGTCCACTGCTTCATCCCGAGGCCACTACACAAGCCTATGATGGAAAGCCGCATCTGCCCAATGACCCTTGCAATTTCTCGAAAGTTGTAAGGAGTCACCTTAAAAGCGCGTGAAAGAACGTCCCCCTTGCGCGTGGAAGCTGCAGGAAGGCTCGTCGAAGGAGCTCAGGGACGTGCACGCAGGAGGGTCCTGTCACAAAAGCTACTGGCAGAAAGATGCCTCGAGCAAGATCTCTGCCAATCAGGATGCCACCCATGATGACAAACCAGGGGGTTGTCGGGGACATCTTCCGTTGACTGTCCCTTGTGATGTTCCCAGTGAGTCTTGTGAAACCTTGGACAGGCCCTCACACCCTCACAACACTGCGCAGGCGCAACGAAACTAAATCCCATCACATTTCAAGACTACAATCACACCTCACAGAAACGAGCAACTACATTGATGTGGCATTCCGGCCTGTGGCCCTGCAGACCGAGCTGTCAGACTTATCCGCATCACTTCCTAGAGACACGCGACGTCCTTGGTCCATGCACCACTGGGATCGCGGATCTCAACTTGCCAGGCTCGAAACGTGCAGTTTCCCTGGCAAACTCGCGCATTCTCCGAGAAGCCATGATGTAGGTTTAGGGTTTAGGGTTTAGGTGATTATGTGGTGGTGAGCAGCGGTAGCAGTAGCATAAGCAACACACGTTTGAGAAGCATGAGAAGAAGCATCCTTAGAAAATGGCGAGCAATGCTTGACATCCGATTCTTTGAAGGAAGGCTCGTGGCAGACGGGATGGACTACAAAGACCATGCCTGGGTGTCTAGCCTTCCACATCTTGCATCACAAAAGGGCCACAGTCCGCCCTCAGGGATTGGTGTTTGGAGACATAGACTGCATGTTTTCAAGAAGTGACCCAAAATTCTCTACTACGAGCATCTCATACTCATACAAACTGTAGAGAGTTGTAGGGAGGAGGGCAAGGTAACAAAAACATTACGCAGAAAGAGTGCTCAGCGAATGCACAGCAAGTGTACTGCAATCTCAACAAGCCTCCTCCATAATGTATCAATCTTGAACATAGAATAATCACAACAGCAATTGCGGTAACATTGGCCGTTAAGCCGGTCCCCTGCCTGCTGGCTTGATGCATTCCAGGAGATCAGTAGCGAGCTGGACGTAGGTTCCAGGACCGCCAAGTCCTTGCGCCAGGGCAATCTGGAATGATCCTACTGCTACATTGTGAAGGATTTTATTATCATGATTACTGTGTTCCTAGTACATTAGTATCACGATGCTATTGTTACTATGCGGCTATTACTAGACTATGCTATGATTGTCCCCCAAGATATCTGGATAATATACTATAAGGAATATTTCACATTAGAGGGTGGTTACAGAGGCAGTGAGCTTCGGTTATCTGCTAGCTCCTTTCTGGCTTCTCTCGCCCTCTCGCCCTCGTTGCTCTCTCTTTGGCCTTGTATGGTTTAAGGTTTACAGGGTTAAGGGTTCAGGGCCTTGCATTGCTGGCCCAGTCCTCAGGCATGCCTGCTCGTATGTAAGGCACGCGGACCACGCTCAGGAAGATGTCGTAGATCATCAGTTCTGGAATTGTTGATGCCAGCTGAACTCCTCAGACGCAGCTCGCCCCCCCCCCCAAACCCTACACCCTAAACCCTAAACCCTAAGCCCTAAACCCTAAACCCTAAACCCTGGGGGTTCAGGAAGCATTCTACTGCCTCGCAGATAGCTCAAACTTCTGCTTCCAGCGTGCCGCTTAGCTCTGGCAGACCACCCTAAACCCTAAACCCCAAGCCCTAAACCCTAAACCCTAAACCCTGAACCCTAAACCCTAAACCACCAAGTCACGAACATCGTATGTCTCTCCAGGCTCCAGACCTGAGAGGCTGTGCAAGCAAGGGAGAAGTTTAGGGTTTAGGGTTTA